GAGGGGCAGAAATGATGAGCCCGAAAAAAAAAAATTCTTTGGTTTTGCAACCGAAATCCCATGTTATTTCCACCCGAATTCCAATCAACCAATCAATCAGACGTTGGCAATGACCTGACACCAGAAATTTCACATCCCGGGAAACAAAGCTCATGCCCAATAAAATGTGGCACATAAAGCAGAGTGACAAGTCTACAATGGCTTTAAACACTGTGTATTTTACTGATTTAAGATTTGTACCCATAGATCAATTTTAAATAATTTGGATTCCCGAAAACTTGATAATAAACAAAATGGTGGATATCTGAAAGTGTCACACACAATCCACTTAAAAGACAGATCCTATTTCGTTTCGTTTTTTATAGTTCAAAATTTCGTTTTACTTGTCTTTACTACACTAGGATCTGGAAGAGTTGTAAAAGACAGATCCTATTTCGTTTCGGTATTTATAGTTCAAAATTTCGTTTTACTTGTCTTTATTACACTAGGATCTGGAAGAGTTGTTATATTTTTTTATGTTAAATGTTAAGTGTGGTACTTGAGCTTTATCTCCGAAAGGAATGTTTCTTAAGAGCTGAAAATGACATATAAATTAAATTGTCGTAAATCTCGACATTGCATCAACACATCCTGTACAGGAGCATGGGAATATACACAATGTACACTCCCTCTCTCTCTCTCTCTCACCCTCTCTCTTTTCTCTCTCTTATATTCATTCATCATATAACAAACAGACAGTGCTAGATTCACATGTGGGCTTGGCAGGCTGAAACCTAGGAGGGTCTCAAGATATGAGGGTCATCGGGCCAAGATATGGGTGAGTGGAGGGTGGGGAGGCTCATCGGGCCATGTGATAGGGGTGGGGGGGGTCATCCGGCCAAGATGGGGGGTGGGGGGTCATCGGACCATGGTGTATAATATTTTGACTGTAGTCTTAAACATTCGTCACTATCCTCGACAGTGTTTAACGGACATTTTGATCTTCCTGTTGTCGTGAGGGTGGGGTGGGGAGGGGCTTCATCTAAATCCAGCAATGCCAACAGAAAGACAGACAGAGCTAACATGCAATGTGTCTGATTAAATTTAAAAATTAGTTGCCAGTTTGTTTTGGATTTTTTTTTGGGGGGGGGGGGGGTAACTAGAAACGGAAGATTCGTATGAAAACCAGGGAGCCACAGTGGCTAAGTGAGAAAGACGCTGGCTCGCATAGATGTAGCGGGTTTGATCCCGGTGTTGTCCAATGTTCCGTGAACACATTGGTGTGCACGTAAAAGACCCTTGGCAGTTGGAATTCGATCATTAGTCCAGTTGTAGCAGAACAGTAGGACGCGTCCGGATAAGCGGTTTTGACGTTCACGTCCAAACGACTAAATATCATTAGTATATCATGTATTATATAGCTGACTGATATAATTTGTTTTAATTATTGTATATTATTGTATTTTACTTTGCCTGTGTGTCATATATACATGTAGTAACAGGGAATACTTTGCCTGTGTGTGTCTTATATAGTAACAGCGAATACTTTGCCTGTGTGTGTCTTATATAGTAACAGGGAATAAGTAAAAAAATAAATTAAAGGTGTGGAAATTATAAAATACTGTAAATATTATAATGTATAATTATATTCTGTGAATAAATATATTACAAGCTAAAATAAATATCATTAGTATATCATGTATTATATAGCTGACTGATATAATTACAATATCATTAGTATATCATGTATTATATCATTACAATATTATTAGACCTCTACTATTGATCAATCAATTATATGTTATGATACTTCGTTTAGTCATAAAATACTATATTACTCGTCTAATGATAGCAGGTGTTTTAATGTTGATTCATTTCACTTGAATAGATGTTCGTTATACCCATTATAAATAATTACATCACTTGTACAATATAGCTTAGGTTAACCTTTGTTACAATTCTGATTCATTCCACATGGGAGCCACGGTGGCTCAGTGAGTAAGACGTTAACTCGCTAACCTGTCAGTGATGTAGGACAACGTATAGTCCTTTGGATGGGATGAAACACCAAGGTGAGGTCCATTGTACATATTGGCATGCACATAAAAGAACCCTTGAGAGTTGGAATTGGAAATAAGAGTAGGCCGTAGAGCCTCTGTCCGAACAAAATTTATCTCATAGCACACTGCATTAGCCCAGTCGGAGCTGAACAGTAGGACGTTAAAATCCATTTCATTTCATTTCACTTGAAATATACTGATTATAGACATTAATAATTCCCATCATATCTTGTAATACAGTAAACTTTGATGTTAATTATTCTCAACTATAAACCAATGATATGCTGGGTTTAGTATTAATTGGCCATCTATTATAGTTCATATAATATTAATAGTACATCATACTATGATATGCTTGGTTTAGTAGTAATTGGCCATCTATAATAGTTCATATAATATAAATAATATAGGATGTAGGTAATAGTTAACATGTACAGAAATTATTCACCTTAATAAGAGAGAGAGAGAAAGAGAGAGAGAGAGAGAGAGAGTTTCGTTATTAACATATTTTTCAATTTTATGTAAATGATTCGCTTATGCGTATGGGTCTTTAGAAGTGGGAGCAAAATTAAGAGGATGGGCCCTACTTCTTGTCCCGTACAAGCGGGGAATCGAAACCACACCACTTGACTCATTGCAGACCTTATGATCCAACGCGCATGCGTTAACCTTTCGGTCACGCAACCTCCCGCAATATTTGGAAGATTAATCTCTCAACTAAACATCGGCTTCAACCATAAGGATATTAAAGATACATTGTCACAAATATATTTATCAGGTGGTTATTCCCAGTAACAGTATGACATGATATATATGTATTTATCAGGTGGTTATTCCCAGTAACAGTATGACATGATATATATGTATTTATCAGGTAGTTATTCCCAGTAACAGTATGACATGATATATATGAAAAGTTTAGACGCCCAATCTTACTAGAAAAATACTGGATTACGCGAAAAACAGGAACTGAGCAAAAATGTCAGGGTATCACTAACAGCCAACCCGACGGCTTATTGTATGCTAGTTTAACTGAGGGAGAGGTTGTTATTTCTTGATCGAACGGTTTGTTTTCGGTGAAGTATCTTTAAAATATTCTGGCTTATCTTGATATAACTGACGTTTTAGTCATATAACCACAAAATAAAATAGGAATGTAATTTAACATTTCGTTAACACAACACAATACTACCAGCTTTTTATTCTGTTATTAAGGGATGTTATGCTAATGAGAAGAATTTTGCCCTGACAGCGGCGTTTCATCGAATGTATTTTACGTGCACGCCAATGTATACACGTAGGAACCATCCGAAGGACTAGTCAGCCCAATGGACGTTATACCCCTGACAGGTGAAACTCAGGCTTGACAAACCTCAAGGTTCTTCTCGAGAATCGAACTTAATTCCCTGACATCAATATGTTATTATCAGAATACTTAGACATTGATTTATTGTCTACGGTATCAACTCAATGGAAGCGGACGTAAATTAACCTTGGTATTATGTCAAGTATTATATTATCAAGGGAGTCGCGATGGCTCAGTGAGTAACGTCTATCATAGAGTCAATTGGCGTGGACTCGGTTCCCCGCATGTACGTGACACAGAATAGGGTAGCCTGTCCACCCTCGTGGGTTTTTTCCTGGTCTATCATATACATAGAGTCAATCTGCATGGAGTAGGTTCCCCGCATATACGTGTCAACGAATCTTGTGGGTTTTTCCGGGTCCTGAACTGCGGTTTCCCTCCACTTAACCCCATATCTATCTATCTTTCTCTCTAAATATAATCTAAACGTGACATGTTAATACTATTATAAAGATAGATCTAGGAGTAGCCCGTGTCACCAACACTAACAATATCCGTCGTCCTTTAATATAACATACATTCATAATACACCGCTAGATATGCATTCATATATATAACATAAATATAGTCTCAATATATATCACACTATAAGTTGATCTACTTCCATACTACCTATGAATACTAACTCAATGCATGAAATTCAAACAAAAATCGAAATAATAGAACAAAATACAATACAAGGTTACGATATTCTAAAATATATAAATTAGCTGAGGTCAAAAACAGTGCTAAAAAGCAAATTAAACAATTAATCAATCAAAATAATACAGTATTTGATAATGAACAAGATATTCTAGACACAATTCACCAATATTACCAACAACTATATACTACCCAAAACATTGTCGAAAACCTAATAAACTCCTATATTGAAAACAGTAACATAAATACCCTAACTAACACGGAAAGAGATTCCCTGTCTCATTTCATATCTAAAGATGAAGATCTGAAGGCGTTACAAAGTTTCAGATCAAACCGTAGCCCAGGCATCGACGGTATTCCAGGAGATTTCTATATCAAATTCTTTGACACAATAGGAACCGACCTGACAGAAGTAATAAACAACATCTATCTACAGGGTGAATTATCTAACCCAATGAGAACCGGTATAATAATAATTAATTATAAGAATAAATTGTTTGTCTATAAGAATAGAGGCGACCACCGATTATTTAAGAACTATAGACCAATAAGCCTGTTATGTGTCGACTATAAAATCATCACAAAAATATTAAGTATATGAATGAACACAGTTATTAACAAATTGATCTCTAAAACACAAACGGGAGCCGGACCAAATAAAAGCACCTTCGATAACCTGTATTTAATTGATTCAATCCTAAATTATTTAGACACACATGAAACTAATGCCTATATCTTATCGTTTGATTAGGAAAAAAGCCTTTGACCGTATTGAACACAATTATATAAAAACCCTACTAAAACATATGAATTTTCCAAATGACATTGTAAATTGGGTTACAATACTGTTTAAAAATTTGAAAAGTAAAGTTCAAGTAAATGGATCCTTCTCTCAAAATATCAAAAATAATCGTTCGATCCGTCAAGGTTGTCCACGATTCTTTATTCCTTACGTATAAATGTTGGCTCCGTATATAGCTCTCAACTAAATTAAGATAAAACCGAAATCCACCATGTTGGTGTTCGTAAACCATCCCATGACTCATTTCCTGAAAATATAAACATAAACATTAAAACAGACACAATTAAATTACTGGGCTTTTGTTTTGAGATCAATAAAATGGAAAAAAATCTGGTTACCCCTCATCATGACGATTAAATCAACTATTAGTCACTGGTCTACTTACAACCTATCGATTAAAGAAAAAGTCTGTACTTGTACTGGTCACTCATTGATAGTAAGAACATACAACCAAAAATAAACAAACACCTACCTCATATAAATTTTGAAAAAGTTTGGCATAATTTATATAAATGTCCAACACTATCTGAAATAGAAAAATAATTTATGCACAAAATAATACACAATGCATTTCCCACAAAAGATATTCTCCACACTCGAAATATTTACGTAGATGACTATAAATGTCAATACTGCAAGAAAAATAATGAAACCTACAGTCACTTATTTCTACACTGCCCTAAATTACAGCACTTTAAATCCTTTGCTGCTACACATATAAACAATATACATTCCACAAAATCCTTCCATATCATGTATCTCTACCTCTGGATCATATGGTCCAACAGAATGCATCCCTATATCAACAACATCTCCAACCATCTGATATACCAATTCTATACAAAAAGAAACGAAAAGAAAATATAAATAAAATCACCAAGCTTCACCCTACTCTGCCTTACTAAATTCTCTGGTTTAAGGCAAATTATCGTTCTGTGTGAAGCTTCTAAATTAATTACTCTATTATGTGACTAAGCAGATCGTGCTATTTACTTTTAAGTTGCCATAACTTGGCATCTTAATCATCTTTCGTTTTCGTTAAATGGCACTTTCATACTGTGTCGTATAAACAAAATACCCATGCACCCACCGAAATAATTGTATGTTCAAAAGAAAAAAAAGAAGCAGGTGCAGGTTCGAAGGCATGGCAAGAGGAATATCAGTTAAGTCGTCCACGAGCAAAGTCGTCCACACGAAAAATCTGGTGAAGTCGTCCACACTCGTTGGTGCAGTCGTCCACATAGGCGTACGGGGAAATTTTTGACTGGGGGGCGGGGGGCGGGCGGTGGTGGTTGGTGCCCAAAAAATGTAGTTAGGTTCTTAGTATGTTACATAATAATAATAAATTCGCTGTTAAATTGGACACATTCACGAACACAATATTTTTTTTATACAATTTTTACAAAGTACAATTGTGTGCCCAAATACGTTGGTTAAGTCGTCCACACGATATAGTTTACTTTCGGGACACATTCGCTTTATCATTTCGGAACATCTCCACGCTAGAGCGGGCCCGTTTATTAATAAACAACAAAGTAAATTGTACACTAAAATATATTAACAATCAAATATTTATTTTTTCAGTTACAACAAAAAAGCATTAACGAAGGATTTTTCAGGCGGGATATCGGTGTGGGGAAGAATCGCCATGGAATTGTTGCCACAGAGAATCATTGAATTTGTTATATTTATGAAATTGTTATGTATTGAAATTTTATTGTACACTTTATATTGAATTTTATTGTAAATTTTGTTGTACACGTATCATCTGCGGGCACTGGATCATCTATTAACCTAAAAAATCAAATAATACAAAATACTAATTAACCAGGGACGAAATGGCTCGGATGGGACAAAAAACCGAAGTCTCGTGTATGTGGCGTGCACGTTGAAGATTCCTTGAGAGTAGGCCGCAGCGCCGCTGTCCGCTCTAAGTGTCCCTCATAGCACACTGTATGGCGTATGCCCGTTTTCGTTAGCACAGTGGGAGCAGAACAGTAGTTTGCTGTAGTTTACAAGTGATTCCAATCGCTTAAAGTGGCAGATCGAGACATTAACCTAATTCCGTTCTAAACAGGGAGCCAAAGGGTGCTAGCTTACTAAGTGAGTAAGACGTTGGCTTGTAAGCATGGAGGTCGCGGTTCATCTGGATTTTCCGATGTGGTTTACCTTTGTCAGTGGTGCAGGACGGAGGGCCTGCCAAGGACAGCTATCTAGTCGTTCGGATGGGACGAAAAACCGAGGTCTCGTGTATACATTGGCATGCACGTATGCCTTGGCAGTTGGAATTATTGGGTATTATTAATTGGGTGTTATTGGGTAATTCAATACGCCCGGTCGGGGCATATTAGAAAAAAATGTTATAGGCCAAGGCATGTCATAGATTTAACATTAAAATCACCTGGGGAAAGAATTACTAATTACTAATTACTGACATCATAATTATGAACATGCTTAGAGTTATAGCCCTTGATTTCACATAAAACGTATCAAAGCTATATACAGGGCTGAGTTATTGCCCGAATTTCATGAAATTTGCTAAAATCCATATCAGCGTGAATTTGACCATCTTTCTTTTATTTAAATTTGGTTTTGGTGTTCAATAGGAGAATGTCTCAGTCACGAATACGGAAGGACTCCTCACTTTTTTTTCTATTTGCAATTTTTCTATATACACCCACGCGTAATATAGGCGTATAGAGTTGTCGGCTGTCGGTCAGCTGTTTCGTTACACAAATTTACAAACCTTGACAGGATGATCCATATCCATTTATCCTGCATTGTTGCAGTTTTATAGTAAAATAGATAGGGTGACTAATGTCGTCCAAGTTTATAAAACAATCAATTATTGTTCCAGGTGAGAATATATAATAAAAATACATCACCTATTGATATATAATTATATATAAATAATCTTGTCTTGGAGAGCGGTGCGACAGCTTACTCTTACACGGAATTCCAATACCTGCACGCCTGAGTAGACAAGAACTGTCGGAACAACTAGGTGTTATCTATTGCCAGGCCCAAAGTCCTGCACAATGGAAAACGGGGGAACCACGCCAGTTCATGACAGTACATTTAACCCCGTATTTATCACAGTCACACCCAATATATAAAAATACTAGAATGGGGTTTTACGTCTCCTCAATTTAAGACTAGTTAATGTATTTTTCTTTTCAATCGCCAGGCGTGCAATACGATGGTGAACTTTGCCTGGAATGCCGCTTTTTACCCTATCCGATGGATTAGGCACATTTCCTTTGTCAATTCCGCCGGGGCCACCCTGAAAAGCGAGAACGAGTTCTTCTCGGGCCCATGGCGTGATTCGAACTCTAAAACGCAATTTTAAGTAATATTTAACTGTAAATGATGTTACATCAAAACAGCTGTTATACCTTCTTTTAATTTTCTCGACCTTAATTATGGGGGGTTGGATGGCGGAATGGTTAGCACGCGCGCTGTACCATACGGCCTGTCATTGAGTGAACTGGCGGGGTTTCGATTCCCCGGTTGTACGTGACAAGGAGTAGGGTCGCCTGTCCAACCTCGTGGCTTTACTCCGGGTCCCCCGGTTTTCTCCCACTGCTAAAGACCCCTACGCACAAGCGAATGATTAAAATAAAATTGAACCATGTGTTAGTCACGAAATGACCTACTTTGTGACGAGTGGACGTTAAACCCCATTTCTCTCTTTCACCTTAATTATGTTTTATTAGTCGCTACCCACTGTAAAATAGGGTGTTGGATGGCCGAATGGTTAGCGCGTGCGTGTTGTATCCAGGGGCGGAGTGGGGCCGGGAAACGGCCCGAGGTCCCGTGTCGGAGCGGCCCCTTTTACTGATCGCGGAGCCCGGATGGGGGAGTCCGGGTGCTCTCCCCCGGGAAAATTTTGAAAAATGGGAGGCCATTTCCCGCAATTTGAGACCATTCCCGACATCCCAATTCTGTAATTTCATCTCTGTAAATAACGAGTTAATAAAAATGTTAAGGAATGTTTAACACCAGTCTCAGGAAATCGTCTCGCACTCATATTCAGCAAGCAGACTAGCTATCATCAAATTTTGCTGAGGCCTTAAAATTGAAATTGTTTTTGGAGTTACAAACGATCGGCAGACGTTTCTGACGTATCCCCAGAAACAGGGTACAGGGGACTTAATAATTAGTAAATTTGCCGGTGAAAGTGTCTGGTGAATCCGGTGAAATTTTCGGATTCCGAATTCCGGCCCACACCCAGCACACCCGGCCCAGAAAGTCTATTATACCAGCCCATTCCAAACTCCAGTGATGGCGTGGTGGCCCGTTAAAGCTACCGGCCACATACAACATGATCATCATCGCTGCATGACCGGTTCAATACACCCCCCCCCCCATATAATGTTCAGAAGAAAAAGGTTTTATTAGACGAATTGCACCAAATTATTTTTTTCATTTTTTGTCTGACCGGCCGATGGTTGTATGTGACAAGGAGTAGGGTCGCCTGTCCAGCCTCTTGGGTTATCTCCTTGTCCCCCGGTCCCAGCCCTACGTGCAAGCGTATTATTGAAAAAATTGAAATACACTGTATATGTTAGTCCCGAAATTACCTAGTTTGTTTCGAGTGAACGTTTAACCCTATCTTCTCCCTCTCCATTGTAAAATACTGATTATTTGTTTGTTCTCAAATCCCCCCCCCCCCCCGCATCAACAATTGTAATAAAATAAGTTTATTTTAAACAATAAACCACAGCACATAATTATGGAAATAATAATTTATTTTGACATTAGGAAGTAATCGCTCTTTCCACCGTAAGAATATAAAAAAATGTCCGCCTAGTATCCGGTATCAATTTTGGCCTATCTTGATATTACTGTTAACCACAAAAAACACAACACACTACTCCCGCTTTTTTCTGAAATGACATGAAATGAAATGAAATGAAGTTTAACGTCCTACTGTTCTGCCCCGAAATGGGCTAATGAAGACGGATATCCATACAGTGTACTTTCAGGGAAATTCTGTCCGGGCAGCGACACTACGGCCTACTCTTATATCGAATTCCAACTGTCAAGGGATCTTTTACGTACACGCCAATGTGTACACGGAACCTCGGATTTTCGGACCCTCCGAACGACTAGACAGCGGTCCTTGTCAGGCCCTCCGTCCTCAATCACGACGGAAAATCTGGATGAATTTAACTTTCTCGACCAATACAGAGATCGAACACCCAACCTCCAGGGTAGCGAGCCAGCCTCGAGATTCGAACTCAATCCCCTGACTCGTTGACTACCACGACCGTCAATATGTTAATATCAGAATACTTAGACATTGATTTATTGTCTACGGTATCATCTCAATGGAAGCGGACGTAAATTAACCTTGATATTACGTCAAGTATTATATTATCAAGCGAGTCGCGGTGGCTCAGTGAGTAAGACACTCGTTCGTTAACCAGGGGGTTATGGGTTTGATGCCAGTGTTGGTTGAGAAAGCTATTCGGGATTTTCCGGCTTGGTGTCCCTCTGTCAGTCCTGCAGGAACACCGTCTAGTCGTTCGGATGGAGCATGGGACTAAAATCAGAGAGTCCCGATGAACTTTCTAAGTAAGGATATAGCGCCATGTGGACCCAGCCGTGTATATTATATCTAGAGGTTTATTAACTAGTTGATATATTACTACATTGTTAAAGATACCAAGTTGATATATTACTACATTGTTGAATATACCAAGTTGGAGACATACAGAGGAACACGTGGAATTATAGCTGTGTAAACGTATAAACATTATACATTATATTATATCTCACTATAAGTTGACCTACTTTCATACTACATACATTCATAATATTATAATTATAGACGTACACCGCTAGATATAGTGTCAATATGATATAGCGTGATAGTGGTAGACTCTGTTACCCACGCTAACAATATCAGTTGAACTTGACATGCATACATAACATACATTCATAATATTATATCAGTGGTGGTTGACGTACACCGTTATCGTCTGGGTGACAAAGGCAAATGCCGAAGGTCATTATATCAAAACGAAAATAAAAATAGAATTTCCGAGAAACTGCAGCAAGTTTACGCATGTTCAGTCTACGGCATAAGGAAGACAAACTGTGCAAGACGATGAAAGACGTGGATTTTTATGTGATTTAGACGTTTTCGATAGAATTTCCGAGAAACTGTAGCAAATTTTCACTTGTACAGTCTACAGTCCGAGGAAGATAAATTGTGTAAGACGATGGTATTATAGACGTACACCGCTAAATATAGTGTCAACATGACATGGCGTGCTAGTGGTAGACTCTGTTACCCACACTAACAATATCCGTGGTAGTTGATACACACAGTGATAGTCTGGGTGACAAAGGCTAATGTCGAAGGTCATTATATCAAAACGAAAATAAAAATAGAATTTCCGAGAAACTGTAGCAAGTTTACGCATGTTCAGTCTACAGTATAAGAAAGACAAACTTTGCAAGACGATGAAAGACGTGGATTTCTATGGGATTTAGACGTTTTGGTTGAATTAAATACTTTTGATTTTTAGTTCATCTGTCTCGATATCAAGTACCATATTGGGCTAATTGTTTGATTTTGTATTTTCATCCAGTTTGAACTCGTATTGTCTACAGATATGTGACTTAGACGTTTTGGTGAGCATTTATAAGAAACTATAGCAAGTTTATGCAGGTTCAGTGTACAGTCCAAGGAAGATAAACTGTGCGAGAAGATGGCAGGCGTGGTTTGCTATGGGATTTAGACGATTTGGCTAAATTTAATACTTTTGATTTCTAGGATATCGTATATTATATTAGCCTAATTGTTTGTTGTTATTTTGTCCAGTTTCAACTCGTATTTTATACAACCAGTGCAACATACAGCTATTCAAAATGGCGGAGAAGGAAGTGTGTAGTATTTGTTTGAACGATTTTCAACAACGCGTGGTACTCGATTGTAAACACCCCTTTTGTTTTATCTGTTTAGAAGATTATGTGAACAAAACCTCCACTAAAGATCAGTTCCAATGTCCATTATGCCGTAGCTTTATAAATCTTAGTGACGGAGGTCTGGATCGATTTAAACCTAAACCAATTAATATTCCTCAATGTGATGTATGTACGGAAGATACATGTCAATATTTCTGTCGAGACTGTGATCAATATTTATGTAAATCATGTAAAATCATGCATGATAAGATGAAAATTTGTAAAGACCACGTTGTGTCTCGATATGATGAAACACAGATCTATCAAGCGCCTACTTCACACGAAACAATAAAGGAAAAAGCTTCGGCTTCGTCTATCACAAATCCTAAAGATTTCTGTCTGCGCCATGAAAAGGAGCCCGTAAAAGTATACTGTAAAGATTGTACTGTAGCCGTTTGTTTGAAATGTTTCTTGGTCGATCATAATGGACACAATTATTTAGATTTACAGGAGGATGAAGTCAGACAAAGTATCAGACACGACTTACAATCACTGAATGATGAATTAAAAAAACAAATCACTAATTTTCAGAAACATTATGATAATTTAAATAGCAAATTAACTGAAGTCAAAAACTGCACAAAAACTGAATGTGACAAAGTAGATGCACAAGTTGAGAAAATCTGCTCAAAATTTCATAAAATCGGAGAAAATATTAAAAAGGAAATGCAAGAAACTAGTGAAGAGGAAGAATACAAATTCAGGAAATTAATGGAGGACATTAAAAGACTAACGGAAGATTTAAAAGCTAGTGTTAAATATTCAGTGAATGTTTTAGAAGATTCATCCGTTGTTCAAGTTTTACAAAGAATACCTAAAGTTAGACAGGAAAAAGATGAAAGTTGTTGTAGAAAATTGGATATACCTGATGTAAGATATTCAACATTTCAAGTAGGAGAGATAGATAAAACTTTGTTAACTAATCAACTTGGTAAAATTGTAAGTTGTCATCAGAATATGATTGGTAAAGTTGTAAGTTGTCATCAGAATATGTTTGAAGATGTTTTTAATGTGGATACTGTGAGAGAAGGTTATGATGGTTGGTATGATGGTAAACAACATGTAGTTTCAGGTTTTACATGGAGTATTGGTGTGTGTAAACTAGGATCATTTTCATTACTTGTTAGATTATACCTGGATGACGTAGAAGATAAAAGTATTACGTCATGTAAAGTTGACGTCACATGTAAAGTTATAAATAAAACAGATGATAGACAATCTGTAGTTAAACAACGTAATGAGACTGTTTTACCTGGTGGTTTGATATACTGGAATACTGATCTTATTGACTGGGAGAGACTCAGTAATCCTGGCAGTGGATTTATTGATGATCATAGAAACTTTACAATTCAAGCAACAATTAATAATATAACTGACATTAAAAGACGTTAATAATTAGACTACTGTTATGGCTGAATGATTGTTAAATAATGTTTTGTTTACGGTGTAAGGGAGATAACATTATTTCTATCCGAAATGGAATAAATTATGGTCAATCGCTGGAAGAAGTAGTTGATAGTTTTTTTCAGATGGAACTTTAATACATGTATAATATCATTCCATATTATAATAAAAAATGATTCCAGATGGAGCTAAAATACGTGTATAATATCTTTCCATATTAGAATAATAATTGTAAACTCTTTGTATTGTTGTTTTATTATGAAGCACTGGTAGTAACCAACAGGTCAAGGGAAACAAAACAAGTTACTGAACACAGGCATTCCAACCCATTCTTGTTCGACACCGGCTTTGACTGAGAAAGTTGAACAATTTCCAGCCTGTTTTCCACTTTGTTAGGAAAAACGTGTAGTTACCATTTTTAAAACAGTTCTTGATCTTGAAGTCTGTTAACTTACATTAATGCAATAAGAAAAAAACCTGTGCGCCGTTAATATAGAGGTAGCAGTTTACTGTTAAAGGTACACCAGTGGGAGGAAACCGGTGGACCCAGGGAAAACCCAAGAGGTTGGACAGGCGATCCTACTCATTGTCATGAACAAGCGGGGAATCGAAACCACGCCACTTCACTCAATGAGAGACCTTATGATGCCACGCGCACGCATTAACCATTAGGCAACCCAACCACCTCTCACTAGAAGATAGGATAGAGGGTTACAAATCTGATCACAAATTTGTATTAATACCTACTTTAAATTAATAGCTGACTTAATTGGGTAGAAACGCCATTGTACGGACTAAATTCTCCCCTGTGCATTGCATTGTGAATCGTTATGTAAAAAAGTGAAGCAAAGTCTCTATATATTGGTGAGATTACAAGATTGTACCAAGGGTTAAGTAATTATCAGGAATTGTTCTTCTTATATAAAATATTCTTCGAAATGTCGCCTAAATATGGTACCTATTAACCATAAGCATGGTTAATACTGGTTTAGTCTATCCAATTAGTAAAACAAGCCAAAATATGGTAGCTGTTTACCTTAAGCATGGGTAATAGCATGTTAGTCTATCCAATTAGTAGATATCACTAACAGATTATTGCTCTGTCTTACTAGCTATCCTTGTATAACCCACCATACAAGTTGTACTGATGTCGTCATGTCACGTTATATAACACAGCTAGCAATATATATCTGATATGAACTGTAAGAAACTATACAGCTGCTATATAAGACTCTGACACATAAAAAAAACATGTTAAAAAGCCAAAATTAGTATAGAGCCCCCCCCCCCCCTCAAATACACCCGCTTATAATTCTAAACTAGTTTATGATAACACATCCACTCGAGTTGGTGAAGTTGAAGGTAGACAAGTGAAATGATATGAAATAAGGTTTAACGTCCTACTGTTCTGCACCGACTGGGCTAATGAAGACGGGAATATTCGACAAACAGTGTGTTATAAGTGAAATTTTGCCCGGATAGCGGAGCTGACTCTTATTTCGAATTCCAATTGTTAAGGTTTTTTTAAGGTCCCCGCCAATGTGTCTACGGGTCCCCGTATAGTCGTCCTATCCGAACGCCTACACATGTTGCCCCGTGGCCGTACCACTGACAAGGAGGAAATATGCCGGAAAAAAAACGATGAACTTTCTTGGCCAACGATATGAGACCTCCAGGTTAGCGAGCCGACGTCCTACCCACTGAGCAACCGTGGCTGTCATGGGTTCTTTTACGTGTCCGACAACATTTAACGTCTTACTAATCACCACCGACTGCAATGAGGGGCCTTCTTTTATTTCGAATTCCAGTTGCCATGGATTCTTTTACGTGCCCGACAACGTGAAGACTGCAAAATGTCCCTCATAGTACACTGTATGGCGCATGCCCGTCTTTATCATGTCCACCCGAATTCCAATCAACCAATCAATCAGACGTCGGCATTGACCCGATGCCTGAAATTTCACACCCCGGGAAACAAGGCTCATGCCATGTAAAATGTGGCGCATAAAGCAGAGTGACAACTCTACTATTGCGCTAAACACTGTTTATTACACTGATTTAAAATGTGTAAATGTTAAGAGTGGTACTTGAGCTTTATCTCCGATAGGAATGTTTCTTAAGAGCTGAAAATGTCATATAGATTAAATTGTCGTACATCTCTGGACACTGTATCGGCACATAGTGTACAGGAGCATGGGAATATACACTCTGTCTCTGTCTCCCCCTCTCTCACCCTCTCTCTCTCTCTCGCTAACAAACAGACAGTGCTAGATTGACCTGTGGGCTTGACAGGATGAAACCTAGGAGGGTCTCAAGATATGAGGGTCATCGGGCCAAGATATGGGTGAGTGGAGGGTGGTGTGGGGGCTCATCGGGCCATGATTGGGGGGGGGGGGGGTCATCGGGCCAAGATGAGGTATGGGAGGAGGGGGGGGGGGGGGCATCAACTAAACATTCGTCAATATCTTCAATAGTGTTTAATAGTCACTTTGATCTTCCTGTTGTCGTGAGGATGGGGAGGGGCTTCAACTAAATCTGGCAATGCCAACAGAAAGACAGACAGAGCTAACATGTAATGTGTCTGATTTAATTAAAAAATTTAGTTGCCAGTTTGTTTTTGGTATAATCGTTCGGATGGGACGAAAAAACGAATCTTATGTACAAATTGGCATGATCTTTAAAGATCGCTAGATAGTAAGAATTCGATATTAGAATAGGCAGTAGCGCCGCTCTTCGGGCTAAATTTCCCTTATAGCACAGTGCATGACGTATGATCGTTTTCATTTTCACAGTCGAAGCAGTAGGGCGTTAAACTCCATGTCATTTATCATATCGTAAAATACGTTCTAAAAGAAACCCACAAACAGTTGTAATAATACATATCATTCATTTTAAACATATAAATTGAAATAAAATGACGTTTAACGTATTAAACCTGATTGACGTAGAAGAAATCCAACTGCCAAGGGATCTTTTACGTGTAGGCCAATGTATACGCGGGTTGTTTTAAGGCCCTCGGTCCTGTATCACTTTCAAGGGGAAACCAGGCGACCTCTAGGCTAGCGAGCCAGTGTCTTACCCACTTGACCACCATGGTTCCCTCTCCTATTTATAAGCCAGTACGAACACTATAAAGATATTCGGAGGTTGGTTGACCGAATGCTTAACGCGTGCGCGTTTAATAGATGGCCTGCCATTGATCAAGTAGAGTCGTCTAGCCAAGATCGTGGGTTTTCACCGGATCCTCCATTTTCCTACTATTGCTAAAGACCCCTTCGCTCAAGCGAATTATTGAAATAAAATCAAACCATTTATGTTAGTCCCGAAATGACCTAGTTTGAGTCGAGTGGACGTTAGACCTCATTTCAAAGATTCAAAGAGCCATAGAAACACACTTTCCAGTGATGTATGACACAATAACTGGAACCTCGTATTAAGACCGGTAATTTGACATTTGTTGGACATTCTCCCAAATGGTTAGTGCGCACTGTAATTGAATAAACTGGCGTGGTTTCGATATCCCGGTTGTAGGAGTAGGGTCGCCTGTCTTACCTTGTGGATTTTCTCTGGGCCTCCGGTTTCCTCCCAATGCAAAAGACCCGTACACACCAGAGAATTATTGAAATAATATTGAACCACTGTCCCGAAATGACCTAATTTGTGTCGATTGGACGTCAAACCTCATTTCTCCCTCTCTCTCTCCCCCACCGCCCCCCCTCTCTCTCTCTCTCTCTCTCTCGTTAACTAACAGAGAGTGCTAGATTTACCTATAGGCTTGGCATGCTGAAACATAGGAGGGCCTCAAGATATGGGGGTCATCGGGCCAAGATAGTGGTGAGGGGAGGGGGGGGGCTCATCGGACCAAGATAGGGGTGGGGTCATCGGGCCATGGTGTATAATATTTTGACTGTAGTCTTAAACATTCGTCACCATCGTCAATAGTGTTTAACAGATACTTTGATCTTCCTGTTGTCGTGAGGGTGGGTGGGGAGGGGGCTTCATCTAAATCCGGCAATCCCAACAGCAAGGCAGACAGAGCAAACATGTAATGTGTTTGATTTAATTCAAAAATTTAGTTGCCAGTTTGTTTTTGTTTTTGTGTTTTTTAAACTAGAAACGGAAGTTTCGTATGAAAACCTGGGAGCCACAGTGGCTAAGTGAGTAAGATGCTGGCTCACATGAACATATTGGCGTGCACGTAAAAGAACCTTGGCAGTTGGAATTCGATATTAGAGTAGGCCGTAGCACCAAATGGCGTATGCCCAGTTGTAGCAGAACAGTAGGACGCGTCCGGATAAGCGGTTTTAACGTTCACGTCCAAACGATTCAATATCTTTAGACAAGGTAAATACATTGCATAAAAACACGGACATTTATTTCTGAGACTTTTTTTTCAAATCGGAATGGTCCCTTTCAACCAGATTTCATTTCGGATGAAACCCAACAGATTGAACAGATGACATTATCAAAACTTTATCACGTACAAATGTGATATCGAACCCTGTATCGGTGGTTATGTTATGATAAAATTAGTATAGTCAGTTCCTTGTCCATAGTAATATCGTGTTTGTTTTTTATCAGATTCTCGGTAAACACGAGGCTTTCCATTGATAAATATTAGATAGAGCTCTTAACAAATCACGGACATCAACGAATAGTCGTTTGGATGGGACGAAAAAACGAGTCACATGTACAAATTGGCATGCTCTTTAACGATCCCTTGGCAGTTTGAATTCGATATTAGAATAGGCAGTAGCGCTGCTGTCCAGGTTACATTTCCCTCATAGCACTCTGCTTGGCGTATGTCCGTTTTTATTTGCCCAGTCAAAGAAGTAGGGCGTTAAACTCCATTTCATTTATCATATCGTAAGATACGTTCTAAAAGAAACCCACAAACAGTTGCAATAATACATATCATTCATTTTAAACATATAAATTGAAATAAAATGGGGTTTAAGGGTCTACTGTTTTAAACATATCAATTGCAATAAAATGGGGTTTAACGTTCTACTGTTTGTCACCAACCCGGGATAATACGGATGAGGATGAGGGACTTACTGGTTTGTGAGCCCACGGGGGACGATTATTTAAACTACCCAGGGTCACATCCGACATCACCCACTTTGAAGTTCGATAGCCATGAATTCCATTATTTTTCAATCCTATATCAATTATATGGTATGTTGCGTCGTTTAGTTATAAATAAATATGATTATATCACGACTGATTTATTTATTTTGATTTCGTTTATTCAAGATGTCATAACATATATTTTACCTGTACCTTTAAATGATAT